GCGGCCCATCCTCTGCCCAGCACCCCTTCTGCAGGGGGCGGGAGCCGGGGGGGAGAGGCCCTCTCGGAGGAAATGCCGCTCCCGGAGCTGGCTCGGGGCCCCAGCCTGGGAGGCAGCCTTGAGCGATGGTTTCCAGATGGGGAAGGTGGCCCTCAGCCAGCCAGGGAGGAGGAGGAGGGAGAGGAAGAGAGGGGAGGAGAGAGAAGAGGGAGGAGAGAGAAGAGGAGGAGGAAGGAGAGAGAGGAAGAGAGGGAGGGAGAGGAAGGGAGAGGAAAGAGGGGAGGAGGGAGGGGAGGAGGAGGCGGGAGAGGGAGGAAGAGGGGGAGGAGGGAGAGAGAGGAGAATGGGGGGAAGGGAGGGGGAGGAAGGAGGAGGCACCCTCCAGGCCGCCTGAGACTCAGGCTTGCAGACTCCGGGGCAGGCGGAGGGCAGGGAAGAAGGGGGGCGTCTACATGGGGCAGAGTGGGGCCCTGCGCCCACGCTAGAGTTTGGGGGCTGGTGGGTGGTCCGCCCTTTCACAGAGCCACCCCCCAACACACACACACACACACACACACACACACACACGAGCTATTTCTCAGCCCCGCCTGGCCTGGCGGTGTCTGTGTGTCTGTCTGCATCTGCAGGCACCTCGCTAGTCAATTGGTCATGGACTCCCGGTGTCTCCCCCAAGCAGGGCAACAGCGTGCCCCCGGCTGCGGGCAGTCCTGGAGGGAGGGGGGAAGCCAAGTCAGCCCAGGCAGCCCGCTCCGTGTGCCCTCACTCCGGGCGGGGAGAGGGCGTACCGAGTGTTGCTTGGGGCCTGTGGACGCTGCAGACGCGGGGTGTGGGGTCAGGGGCCGGACCGGCCGGGCTGAGTCTGTGGCGACCCTCTGCCGGCCCCACCGAGGGCTCAGGGGCAGGAGTGCATTGTCAGGGGAGGGTCCCCGATGTCCATTGGCGTCTGCAAGTTCAGAGCCTGACCCCCGAGAAAGAGGCCGAGAGGCAGGCGTGCTGGACCCATGGTCTCCAGGGACCGCCGCCTCCTCCAACACTGGGGTCCTGGCCGTGTGCCTGCCCTGGGCATGGGGAGCGGGG